GGGCAGGGAGAGACGGGGGTGAAAGGAATCTGTTCTTGTGATTCGTTCTTGGTCATTTATAAACGTCCCTCTACAGCAGTGTCTCCAAACTGTTTACCGACGACCGATTGGCCGACATCAGCCGTTACAGCCAATAAAGATTTATTTTCAAAATCAAACAACTTTCAGTTAGTTATTAACTTTCTGTCAGTATCAGAGTCTGACCTTTGACCTGTTGGTTTGAAACTTTGACAGATTATCTTTGAATGAAAACAGTAAAGGGACATGACTGTCCCACTGAGGCCCGGTACGGACCAGTACCGGTCCCCGGACCGGGGGTTGGGAACCCCTGCTTTACATGACAAACTGAAAATATTATTTTACGTTATTTGTCGTTGCTATGTTGGTGTTAAACAAGACGTCATTAGCCTGTGATAAAGGCGGGTAGATCTTTGCGAACGCAGCTAACGTTCACGGGGTCATGTGACTCTCCGTGAGGTCACGTGACTCTCCGCTGGGTCACGTGACTCTCCGAGGGGTCACATGACTCTGCGTGGGGTCACATGACTCTCCGTGAGGTCATGTGACTCTCCGTGGGGTCACGTGACTCTGCGTGGGGTCACGTGACTCTCCGCGGGGGCACGTGACTCTGCGTGGGGTCACGTGACTCTCCGCGGGGCCGCGGCAGTCGCTCGCCGCGGTGTAAGAACCTCACGTCGCTCTGACTCTCCATCGTGCTGCCTGTGTTTTCTGGCTCCATCCTGCGTCTCCCGTCGGAGCCCTGTCCAAAGGCAGATGGTCGCCGCCATCTTAACTCCACGCCCGCCGCGCTCAACCTGGCTGATACTGAGAGAACGATGGGAGAACGAGGCTGACCTGAACACGGCTCAATCGTGTCGTTGTGTGTGTGTGTGTGTTTCCCCATCCAAGTCTGTGGGCACAGCCATGACGCTGAGGAATGCAGATTCAAACACCCACAGAACGTGTCCGTGGATTCACACACACACACTCAGATATCTGTGTGTTTGTCTTTGTGATGGTTGATTTAAAATCCGTGAACAGTTTCTGACATTAAAACCTGAGTCATTTTATCAGTTTATAAAAATATGATATAATGTTGCTGGAAAAACACATTTTCCATTCCTGTGAACGCCC